CATCAATTTAAAAATTACAATTGGATATTCGGTTTTCATACTCGCAACGGAGCTGCTGATATGATGTGGCGCAAAGAATTTTCAATCATTTGATCAACAGCCCGATGATGGTGACTTTTTGGAACCACCGTGAAAAAATGGTAAGCAAAATCGAAATCACACTTTTTTTAACCAATAAAATCGATGATTTTCTGTTGTTTTCCTCAGTTAGATATAATTTTAAATTAATTCATTAATTTTCAAAACGATCGAATCAAACACACAATTTTTACTCACGTATCAAACAATTGTTTCTTATCAAATGCAGTCATTTGACATTAGCCGAACATTTGTTTTTTGTTTGATCAATTTGGGAACAGCTTTCGGTGACAGGACAAATTACAAAGTATTTTTTTCACAAATAAAATGTTCATATCGATTTCCGCATCAAAATCGCTTTAATTCACATCAATTTTGCGATAAAAATCGCGATTTTCCACATCCAAGTTCAAAAAACATTTCATTGCAGTCACTCACTCGGTGAAATTCCTGCATTTTTACAGCTCTCTTCTATGAAAGGAGAATATTCACTCAAAAAATCTATTGAAATTGCCTGTCTTCTCAATAAAAATCGCAAAATGTTTCATTCAAAATAATAATTCCGTCGTTTAATCGAATAAATTTGTGGCAGTGTGGGAATATCAATGTTGAATCACTTGTACTGTGATCAACACCGTCCAAACTCATGAATTTTCCACCAATATCTCAATCAAATTGCGATCATTCTCATGATTTATCATTTCCCCGGCAATTCATACGAATTCCATTCAAATTTACCGAAAAAAAATCGTCAGTTTTCCGACTTGTTGGTCAAGCCGCTGTACCTGTGTAGGCGATTTGTCACCAAGTGACATTAAACGTAAAAATAATCCCGAAAATTTGGTCAAACATTCTGCATCAACTGCGAATCAATTGCATTTATTCATTAAATGTATCGCTTTTGCATTGTTTTTTGGTATAACGGCTGGCCGAATCTAATATTCCAAGCAAATATCATAAGTTAGACAAATTGCATACGACGATTCAATTGAAACGAACTGTCAAACTCTGAATGTATTAAAATTTCAACACAAATTTCCATTGAATATGTGTAAACGCATCGTTTTTTCGCATTTTTCATTGTAAAATCTCGCATAAAGTCTTTGTTTTGGGCAGCGATAGAAGAATTATTCAAAAAAAAACCATTCGATTCATTTGAATTGGGAAAAATATCGTTCGGTTTGTTGTTTGACAGATTGAAAAATGCTTTACAAATAATCCGCGTTCACAGTGCTATCTGTGGTGGGCATTGTTGAAAGCTGTCAACCGTCAGGGCGCTGTGATCGATATGGAGAATTCACTTTTAAATCGTCATGGCTAAATTGAGATGGAGTTGGTGTTTGAGAAAAATATTTATTATTTTACGTAATCTACAGAGGAAACCGAATGAGATTTTTGTTTTCACATTGTTAATTTTTTTTTGTTGCGCCGAGGTCCAAATTTTTGCTGGTATTTTCCAGTTTGTTGAGATTTTCACGAAAATCCGGACTGTCCAGCAGACAATCGGTGGATTCAAGCGCTTGCAAATCGGCCGTCATCATTTTCGACACTGATTCTCGCATTCGCGCAAAATTTATGCGAAAAAGCATTCAATTTCAAAATACACGACGCAAAATACCAATTGCACTCATAATAGATCGATTGATCGGCTTTGAATTTGTAAAAGTAGCGCCACAAAATGCATTTTTTCAAATGCGTTTGCTCGTGAAACCGATATAAACCCGAAATGTGATAACACACCAAGAAAAAAACAAACAATGGTAAAGACGATGGATAAGAGAAAAGAAAAAAAATGTATTTTTAACCCGTGTATGTCTTTCTCATTCGTATCGAGTACACACGCATTGCAGGAGACTTTTTTCTTCAATCATCACGAAGCCGCACGGCGAGAATGTATGAGAACATGAAAAACCAATAGATAAAATACAACAAGAAAAAATCTCCGATTCTTCGAAATCGATCCGGTGTGTATGTGTGTGAGAGAGTGAGTCCAATAAGACGATCGATCGAACGAAGAAGAAGAAAAAAACAAAAATTTTCATATTATTATTGTTCATGATAAACTTCTTTGTTGTCGTTTGTTCAACACGCAACCGTTCTGAATTGACTTTCAATGAATAACTGCCAGCTATACGGGCGAAGAAGCGCACGCATACTCAAGTTTTTGATACTCCATACACACAACACACATTTTCAATCGCCAGCATACATGATATGAGTGCACAAAAAACAGAACCAACTCAACACATGCACAAACATTGATTTCAACCCATTTCAACATGCTTCTTCTTGTGTTGTTGTTTTTCATTACATCTTGTTTCACATACAATTTGTTCAACGCACACACGCAACCAGACACATATGCCGTTCGTGACTCGGCAATGTGATAATAGTGCGATGAAAAGTACTCAACGTACAAAAACGAATTTCAGAACATAGAAAATATAAATGTAGTTGTGTGCATGAGTCGTCGTTATAAAAGAGATGCAACGAAACGAATTTCTGGAACATAACATAACACCCACTCGTCCAAACAAACATTGTGCAATAGAAACAAGCATTATTGTTTTTTTTCTCACTCTCTTGTCTTGCCTCAGTACCTGTTGATTTGTGTGTATTCGTCTCCGATCACGTGAGGCAGAATCTAATGAACGGCTTTCCACTCATTTTGAAGCTCGATCACAGATGGCACTGGACGGAGGGGAATGATTTACAAATTGAAAGTATTTTCTTTGCTTCAACAACATTTGTTTTACTTTTTTTCCATTTTTAGTGTCTATCATTGTTAAAAAATAGAAGAAAAAAATTAAAATTTCAAGTGAAAAATCGAAATGCGTAAAAAACGATAGATTTTCAAATAAACATCGAATTTCATCGTATAAAACATCGCAAAAAACCTTTTGGTCAGAAATATCGTTTGGTGTCGCTGTATGTTTCACGAACTCCGACCAACACAACGACGAACAGCAATTGTCTCTGAGACGCAGTACCGGTTGCACTGTGTTACTGTTTGTTAAGTGAAACGTTAGTGAAAAAAAACATTTATTTGCAAATTAATTTAGAAAAACGTGTGAAAATCATAAAAATTCAACCGAGTAAGTAAATTTTTGGTCGTAAATCGAAAAAAAAAAATTTTTTTTTTTGGAATTAAACTGTTGAAATAAACGACAGACAAAAATTGATAGTGCGAAAAAATGCTGTATGTTGTTTGGTGTTTGTTGTTGTTGGCGGTAATGTTTCGAGCGCCATTTTGCGCAAACGGGAGTATTTCGTGATTTTATGGCATTTCGTTAAACACAAGAAAGAACATAGACGCGTGAAACACGCTGTCAACACACGATTCTGGGTTGAGTATAAACGCGCGCGCATAAAATGCCAGTGTATTAGTGTGCGTGCCACATATATATGGATAGTAATTTTTGTGTTAAAGTGTACGTTAAATGGATATGTGTGTGTGCTTGTAATGGCTGCCACTTTATATACAGCATTCTCTGCAGCATTGTGTCGTTTTGTGTTTAGTTAAAAAAAAATTATCGCAAAGAATTATCGTTCGCAATAACAACAAAACATCATTCAATACATTTTTTTTTGCCCAATTGACCAAATAGATCGTAATAAATGTGTTAGTGGTTTCGTTATAAAGTCATACGCAACGGTAAAAATATTATTGCAAAGAGAAAAATATTTTTTTTTACTATGGTTTGAAAAAAAAAAAGAAAGATGTATGTGTGTATAGATAGTGATAGATAGTGACTTTTTTTTGCGTGATCGTTTAAAATCAGTTTTTTCATCCTTTTTCTTGCCTTTTTTTCTCTTTTTATCCACACAGTATTAACACCAACAAAGTGTTTTCAAAGTTGACCATTATTTAGAGTGTACACGTTAGTTCCAACGAGAAAGAAATAAAGACGAATTACTCAGTGGAAAAAGTGTTGAACCGACGCGTTCGCTACGGCAAAGTAAGTTTTTTTAATGATTTTTTTCTACTATCCTCTTTTCTGCTAGCAATTTATTTTGTTTATTTATTTTTTTGTCTGGCGACTATCAAGAATTACATTTTCTCAGCTGATACATTGTTCACTATGTACTATTTAGCTGTCAATTAAAAAAACAGGTTAGATAAAAGTGCGGCGACAATGAAATTCCATACATATACACAAATCACCGCAATTATTGTTGTTTTTCGATTGTTTGCTTGAGATCATTCGCCCCAAAATTTATTACAATGATTTTTCTCCGTGTTTTTTCGACCAATTTACGGTCTATTGTCGATTTCATTGTAAACGGATAGTGACGCAATGTTTTTGTAATTTGATGTAATTATCGCATACATATTTGGATCTGATTCACAAATAACAGTGTAGATAAATAAGTTTGTTGTGTCTATCGAGAACGAAATCGATTGTTTCCGAACTGATGTTAGTTGTTGTTGTTGTTGTTTTCAGGTTGAATACTTCTTGAAATGGAAAGGTTACAGTTCGGACGATAATACATGGGAACCAGAAGAAAACTTGGATTGTCAAGATTTGATTGAAGCGTACAATAATATAAAATTCACAGCTGAACAATTTTTTGCACCGGATTTTCAGTCGACATTCGCTCAGCAAATACAAACATCGAATGGGTAAGCATCATGTGAAGTCAATGACCAGTTTCTCTGAACAATGTATGTCCCACTGAGGAGCCGGAAGAGCACTCTGATCTTCAAAGCTACCTCCCACATTTCTTGCTCTGAGAAACAGTCTGTGATTAAAATAGTCATGGCGTGAAGCCAATTCACCGCGAAGACTGGAGTCCACGTATTGAAAAAGCTAGGCCACGTATTGAAAAATATTGAATTATCGTAAATATTCCTTTTTATATCGTATTTCAGGCCGAACATTGGTCCATCGTATGTCACTCACATGGATCAACAAAGTAATGACAAGTCCATTGTCACCGATCATTTTCAACAGCAACAAACGACTGCTGACAATGACCTCCTCAATGCAATTGTTCAAGGAACAGAGGCAAACAATCAACTCGATTGTGGCATCGACAGTAATATACAGTAAGTAAAAGAATTTCATTCGCTTTAAAACTCCATTTAAACTAATTACAATGAATTTTCACAACAAAAAACCAATTACCAGGGCCACCGTGGAGCAATTATTGGCCGAAACACATCCGCAAGAGTTTCAACAGTTGCAACAAGAATTATTGCAGCAACAATCGTCGGATCAACAGCTCACATTTGCGTTGCAACAAACACAATACCAATCATCGCAGCCAATGGATTTGTTGATGTCAACCGATCCACATCAATCGCAACAAGTATCAAATATCTCAACACGCAACGATGATGGCCACGGTATGAATACAAATTCAATGAATGCCTTGTCGCATCCGATGCAATCGGAAATGGATCAAATGCTTGACATTGATTTTATGCATCAAGTGTTGAACAGTTTCGAATCGGAACGAGCCGGTGAAAATCTGGACGATTTAGCATTGTTCAATGACATCGGCGATGTTATGAATATCGGTGAGTTTTTTTTTCTTTTCCGTCTTTGTCAAACCGAGTTTTAATCGAAAATGTGTTAATTTTATTTTCAGGTTTGGATGATGTTGTCTCAACGTCAATGTCACGCGAATCTCGAACCCAAGAAATATTGAGTGACATCGAAAAGAAACGCGAACAAATGATTCGAGATTGTGATTTTATGATGCGACGCTTGCGTAAAATTCAAGTTCGTCACATGGGCCGTCATGTTAGCGAAGAAATTGGTGGCTTATTTGAATATGCACAACAACAAATTAAACGAAAAGAACGTGAAACCAAATCCATTTCAACGATGACACCGATCAATCAATTGCACAGCGATAAACAAAAAATGAATTGGAAAATGCTATTGAAGCGAATCGAACATGCGGCCACAAATCAACATTCAAATACAGCGATCAGTAAAATGTTGAACACCAATTCGTCGACGGATCAACATCATGCAAATAATTCGGGGGTGTCGACAAGCGGTGCAGCAAATAAACCATCGGTCATTTCGTGTGTGCCTCCGTTCGATGTAAATGGATACAAACAATTGAGACGATGCGCCGGCATGTTAAGCACCGAACTCAAAATGGTCGGACGATCATTTGATCCGGATGCAACAGAGAGGTAAATTGGAAATCTTTCTTTTTTTTAGATTTAAAATTGATTTTTTTCATTCAAAAATTGTCCAAATTTATGATTCAAGTCTTTTGGATTTTCATCTTTGAATTTCAATTAAAATAACATGAAAACATTTCCTATTCCAAATTGCAGTAGTTCCGGCGGTGAATCAGGTGATGAAGGAATTACATACCCGAATCAAACAAAACACACTTTATCAATGTAAGTGGGCGTTTCTTTCTTTGTTTACTTTATTACACACTGACATACATGTTGTGGTAGAGAGATTTCCAGTAGTATGAGTTTGCTTAAACATTGAGTTTTGTGATTTGAACAATTTTTCAGAGGTAAACGAGCGGCATACCGTTGGGCACGTGATCGAGCCAAGATTGCATCACGATGGACATGGCTTTTGGCACAAATCTCTGATTTGGAGTATCGAATTCGACAACACCAAGAATTGTACATTCTTCTGAAGAAGAGCAACGGTTCGTGTTTTTTTTTTCTATTCTCTCGAATTTTGGAAAATAATTTCTAATCGCTTTTCTTTCGATTGATAAAGGTCAAGTGACATTCGAAGATGGTGAACCAGTGGCGTCAACAAGTACATCGGAAATAATTCAAACACCGTCGGTGAATGGTTATCGTGGATTATTGCCGGGCAGTGTTCGTTTGGGTGACATGGATGATGTTACCGCTAAACTATACGGCGGCAATAGCAACGATGAAGTGGAATTGAATGGTTCGGCACGAACAAGGGCATTCAAAGCAAGCGCATTCAAAAAGCGAAAACTTTTACAAAGTACAAACTTACATAAAATTTCAAGGCGTGCCGCAAGACCATGGTATGATATTTTGATGACGAATTTAACGCTTTCTGTAAATACTAAAAAAATATTGATGTGTGTATTTCAGTACAATCAAATGCGGTTGCCGATGGCCAGTGCATCCGTGTCTATTGTGCACAGGTCGAACCGATCCGACTGCACCACGTGATTTACCCGATATGATGTCAACTCAGGAGAATGTCGCACTTTTGGACCCATGCTATCATCCGATACTTAGTTTCCCTGAAGGTAACACAACGAATTTCTTTGAATTTAAAACATGTTTTTTTTTGTTTTTAAATCAAATTTTTGACGTAATTTGTTCAAAAATAAAATCCGGTTTTTTCGTTTGAAAATTCTCAGATGTGGCACAAAATATTTACATGGAGGCGACGTTACGTACAGCAGAATGGCAAACAAAAGTGGCTCGTACATCATCAAAAGCTGTCATTAAAAATGCGCTCGCTCTACAAAAAGCCAATGAACGCAATGAGGCTCGTAACAATTTAGCGGCGACGGCATCACGTAAAAACTCTGAAGCTACACATTCAATTAATTCGAAGAAATTGTCGCCGAACAAGTTTAAATTAAATGCAACCAGTTCGTATCTTTGTTCATTCACATTTATTGATCATTTTGAAATCAATTTTTTTTTAAATGACGAGATTTCTTTATTGTACAGAGTTGAAAAAATCGCAAAATAACATCACCAATCGTAAGCCAAAGAAAATCACGTCCGGTTTGAATGCATCGAAAGTGAAGAAAAATAAGTCCCGGAAAAATTCACACATGTCGGCCACCAGTTCCGATCATCATGACATGGATGTGGGCAGTCCGAATGGTTCGATTTCACGTAGCAAAAATCCATCACCGATTCCGGGACACAGCCATCGTTATGAAAGGTAATTTTGAATTGATTCGTTCAATTACGTTCTTACCAAAACTTATTTTTCAACGTCCATCATTTGTAGATTGCATTCAGAGCGACGTAACAACAAAAACGCTTATGACATCGATAATATTGTGATCCCCAGCACCGTTTCTTCACGCGTCGAAATTCTTTCTTACAAAGAAATACCAACGCCGAAGTAAGTTTTTTCGGTTTCATATCTCTCCTTTTTGGCTCTTTAGAGTTTTTGGCTTTTTCTTTCCATATTTTTTTTCATCAAAAAATCATTTAAAAATTATTTTAATCATCGACAAAAAACCCTCGCTCATAGAGGTTCCTCTAGTGATGAAAGAGGTAACGATGCATAAATTTCGATTGAATTCACGTGTTGGTTATAATTCATTTTAAAAACAATTTTTGAAATTGTTTAACGTTCTGTTAAAGAATAGAAATTTTATTGTTAAGCGCAGTTTTGATTTGACACACCCACACACACAAACGAGCCCCAAATTCAAACTTCGACAAACAAAGAATCTTGAATTCACTTTTTTTCACTCAATTCCAAACTCATCAAATTCTTGTAATAATTAGAACACATGTTTGAATTCAGCATACATACAGCCGAGAATAATACGTCATCACATGCGTGTGTGTGTGTGTGTCAAGTCACGACTTCACACTCTGGTTAAATAAAATTAAGCTAATTGATAGGTTGCGCTTAACGCATTTAAATGTAACACAGTTGAACTGCTAGTTAGACAGGCGTTTAGGCATACATAGATATATTGCATATGTCTTACACTCTCACATATATGTGTATACAATCTGGAACTATTTTAGAAAGTTCAATGTGATCAATTCAAAATCTCAACCGATTTCATTTTAAATTTTCCACATACCCCTTAATGAAATTTTCATTTCAGATCGATTTGGTTAATAATTTTAACTTGAAATATTTCCCACTAACAAAAATTCCACATTTTACTTTAAAAATACTTTACTGCACACAGTGGGTGTGCTTCCTTAAATTCCAACCATTTTTTAAACAGTTTATTTTCAATTTTGAAAATTTTAAACTTTTTTTCAAATCCCTTTTTTTTAGTACAAAATCTATGAAAAAAACGCTTTAAAAACAAAGAAAAGTCGAGAATTGTTTGAACATTAATTTTAATTTTTAACACACATTTTATCCAAATTTTTTAAAAATTCTTTAATTAATTCAAATGTCCAAAATAACACCAGAAAAAAATTGAAAAATTTATTCGAGAAAAAATTTGAAGCCAAATTTTTTTTGAATCGAACAAAATGGATTTTCAACATTAACTTTTTTTTCAATTCATTCAATTTTTTGAGTGAAAAAAAAATATATTAAATAAAAAAATTCAGTAAAAATTGTAAAGAAAGAACTTTTTCATTATATATCTGAAAAGAAAATGAACAAAAAAACGATGTAACCCAAACCAGAGAAATTTTGTTTAAAAAAAAAATTGTAAATACAAAAAATTAGAAAAAGAGAATTATTTTAACGATATAGAACAAAAAATTTACGTAAGGCAGTTAAGAATTTTTTTTTTTAATTGAACTTATGCTGTTTTCGAGTATATGTAAATTGAATTTGGAGTGTTAAATGTAGAAAATTCCGTACAGTCTCATCAAAACTATTTTTACAAATAAAACCAAGCCCAGTTGAAAACATGCTTTAAACGGAATTTGCAAGTTTCCAGTTCACAGAGCCTACGTTTCTTTTTTTATCTTTTGTTTCTGCGTACCGGCCCAACAGTACATCAACAGACAACGCGCCAACCCCATTTTTTTATATTTTATTTTTATTTAATTTTTTTATTTTATTTCAGCTTTATTTGCAAATATGCAAATCGAAAAAAAGAATCGATTGGTTCCGCTATAAAATAGCGCCCATTCTCGAGAATTTCTCGAGATTTCAAAACAAGATTGAAATTATCTTGAATACAATTCGCTGCTGATAGTAGTTGAATGCCACATGACAATTAAAGAAATTGCATGTGTACCTCGCGCTCAATTTGGTCATTTTTGTTTGATTTGTTTGTTATAGTTTTAAGATTTAGTTTAAAATTTATTCAATTTTTTGAACATAAATAATTTTTTTTGAGATTTTTTTTTTTCATGAAAAACAAAAACTAATGAATATTTGTTATATTTCAGATGGCGCATCATCGAAGATGAAGCTGAAAAAATAAACACAACTAGTCAGAAGGAGCCAGAAAAGGTAGATTTAATTTTCAATTGACTTTTCTCTCTGCTTTTGGGAGAGGTCTAGACAGGCGATTCTAATTAAGAATGAATACTAATGAAAAAATCTCAATTTTCAGGAAGTAAAACCCGAAAAGTCGACAGAGGTTCCGAACACAAATGTCGAAGAAGATATAAGCGATGACGCTTATCAAAAACGCCATGATCGAGCTTTGAATGAAGAGCGAAATAGGTTTATTACGTTCTTGAAATTCCCATACAGTACACGATCGCGAGCAAATCGTCGTATCGATAGCCAGTCAAGTGGTGCAAACACTCCGGATCCAATGTCACCGGCGCCCAGCACACCGGCCGCCGCAACAAATGTTGATCAAGAGGTAAGCATCACACTTTATTCGCCCGGTACAATCAAAATTAATGGTTATTATCAAGTATATGATTAATTTTTTCTAATAGTCGGCGCCGCCAACGCCTCAATCTGTAGATGCACCTGCAGACTCAGCACAAGAAAGTGGTAAGTGTTCATAAAATTTCTCTGATCTTCGAAGAAAAAAAATACTCATCGATATTTTTTGATTCATACAGCAAAGCATAATAACAACAATACAAGTGTAAACAATAATGGTGGTGTGAATGCGATGTCAAAATCAAAACTAAAACAGGAAAGTCGTCGAATGAACGCTTTTCGTAAAGCCTACGATCAACGCGAAGAATTACTGCGACGCAGTACAACTCCCGAGATTAAAGAGGTAAGAAGAAAATACCCACTCAAACATTGAATGGGCTTTCATCAAATTAATATTATTCGTAATTTGCAGACAACACCGCCGTATGAGCCGCTAAATTTTCCATTGCCGTGCGATACATTGGATCAAATGATTCAAAGTATGCCAAAAACTTTTAAAGACATAATAAACGACTGTATCGACCAAGTGGCGGGCGATAACCTGCCCGCTCAGTCAACAGCCGCTGATCATACACCAACACAAATAACAACACTGGCACCGAATTGTAAAAGTCGACTACGAACTCAACAGTATTCCGACTTAACGATGCTAGTCGAAGAAGACAGTGACGAAGAAACCGAATTGGCACAAGAAGATGCAAACGATCCGGAATGGAATTTCGAACCACCACAACGGATACAAAAACTACAATGAAACATAACAGATATAAGAAAAAACGCTTTGGCATCGAACACACATACCGTTAAAACCAAAAATAACAATCAATTTTTCTCAATCATGTCAAATCAATACGTGATAAAACCGACATTTATCGATCGAATTCATCAAATAAACACAATTTGCTTTCGTATTTGGACGATCTCTAAATTACTAAAATATCAAACATTTGCATAGCAAAGATGAGCTTATCCCATTTTCAAATAAAAAAAAAACTTGACGATTTTACGGCGGCAAATGAAAAAAGACACATTACAGTTTTTGGAAGTAACACACAGAATGATCAGATTATATTTTTCGTGAAGATCTCAAATTTCCTTAAAGAATTTTGAACATTTTCAAAATTGACGAATTAAAAAAAATGACGATGGATTTATGGAAAAAGAAATGGAAATTTATGAAAAATTCGTCGACAATTTGGGAATTCTTGTTTTTTATTTTCACCACAAAATATGCCCAATCGCATCCGTACAATTATTATTTGTTAAATGTGTCTTGTTTCGGTTTGTCCGTGCACGGAAAATGGTGTGCTCAAAATGAAGATTTTGTTTTTTCGCTAACTTTGTATCAAAGAAGAAAAACAAAGAATTCACCTTTTTTTCGTATAAAAATTAAATCGAATTGAAACGTTTCTATTTGTTAAAACTCTGAATTTGTTGTGTAATTCGTGCAATTCGATCGATGAAATGATGGTATAAATTTTGAAACTTAAGAGAAACTCGGTCAACATACAAAATAAAAAAACGATACATTTTTAAAATATAATTTGAAACAAATGCAAAAAACGACACACACAAACATCTCATTGTGAATAAAATTAGCGCCAGTTTAACATTGATTTATATCAAATCAAAATAAGTGACAAAATATTGTAGAAAAGAAGAAACGGAGTTTTTCATTCAACACTTGGAAAGGAACAATTAGTTCTTGTTCATTTTCTTTGGAAGAACTAGATTGTACATTTTATTGATTGTACTATCGGCTACCAAGCTATCTGTCTGCCATATGGATCTGCTAGATAGAATCCATATTATGGATGTACGTCGATGGTTCGACCCCTTTGTCTTTGGGGTCCGTAGACTCATTTCAATCGTTCTTTCATTTTCGAAGTTAACAAAACAGATCATCGTTGCATTTATCGCCCCTCGCCCATTCATCAAAATATAGCCATTGAGAGAAGAGCTTCGATCTTCGCCTCATCAAAAAGAATAGAAAAAAAGAAGCATAAAAAAGCAAACAAAGGAAAAACCCTAATAAAACAAAAAACAACAAAAAATTTAGTATTAAAGAAAATGAAGCAAAAAAAAAAAGAATTATATTTACAAAATCTATCTGATGTTGAATAAATTAATTTTCTTTTTGTTTATCCTAATGCAAGATGTTCGATGGAATCGCCGAAAGGTGTGTTCCACTGAGCATCTTTTTTTGTAAATAGAATTTTTATTTGTTAACTAGCGAGCGGAAACTAAAAAAAATGGTGTATAATGCAAAAATATGTAGAAATATTCAATATATAATTTTTCTCCAAATTTTTTCTTTCACGTAAAAAAAAACTATTGACATAAGTTGGTTGTAGCAACATTAAGATAGATAATATTGGTAATGAAAAGACCGTTGTTTTAAGTGAATCCCCACACATTTTGGAATTTTCGATTTGACAGTGAAAACAAAAGAAAAAAAACACACACTCACATTCAGGAAAGTTAACTATTAGGAAATAGAGTCATCGTCAGTCGGACGATCAGTTTAAACCAATCAGCTGACATTTAGCATGAAAACGCACGCATTAGAGAAATAGAAACAAAAACAAATTCAATCTAATTCAGCTTGTACATAAACGATTCGATTGACATCTTTTATTGAACACAAGGCTTTCTTTTCTCTGTTTCATATGAATAGCATTACACCGCAACAAACAATAATTTTTCGTTAGTATTTACGATTCTGATTAAAACATAAACACATTTGTTTCGGATTGACATTTAATTGGAAATTGTGAGAGAAAAAAAAATTCGAATCAAAAAAAAAGAATAATATTAATTATAAATATTTATAGTCATCGATTTGTATAACTTGTATATAAAATTAGTCAGTAGATGAATTACACAGTGATGACGGAAGCAGCAAGAAAGTAAAAGAAAACAGAGAATGTAAGTGGAAATAAACACAATGAAATGGAACAAACTAAAAATCAATTGACTTTTCAATTTTCGACATCGTTTTTAATAAAAAAAATTGATGAAGGCACACCGGACTGATTCTGATCGTCATTTGCGGTCTTTTTGTGTTGAATTTTTGGCATCTTTTGTTTGGAGTCATTTTTTGAAAATTTGATTTTTCAATGACGATAAGGTGGTATTTTGCTTATCTAAATAATACAGCATTTAACAATTGGATTGCGTTGAGCTATCACATCAATCAAAAGTAAAAGGCTTCGAATTGTGAACACTACCGATCGTTGAAAAAGAGATAGATAAAACAGGTCAACAGCTTGAAAATAAATAATTTTATTGAATTTGATAAATACGATGGTACAATGCTTTCTTTTTTTCTGCTATATATAAATAATTGATGATACTACACTAAATACATTTTTGTTATTCGAATTAAATGATTTTGAATTTAAAAAAGAAAAAAATCGATAGATAGATGGACTCATGGATCCACTTCACTTGATGTTAGCTCCATTGTCGATTAAGAATTTTGCCAATTCGGTGGAACCTATGGATAAATTGATATAAATTCACGTTAGCAAACAAATTGTATGCGCAAATTTTAAAATGCTCTTTACCAGTCTGAATGGCCCATTGAAGTGGATATACTCCATCTTTATTCTCAGCGTTCACATTTGCTCCATGTTTGACGAGATATTTCGATACTGGAACATTGTCTGAAACGAGACAGATAATTCATCATCAAAATGCGTATAATTTAAATCGAATAAAATGCAACTATACCAATCGCCGCTGCTAGCAAAAGTGGTGTATTTTTATCCGAAGTCTCAGCATTGACGTCAGCTCCGAGCTCCACCAAATATTCAGGTAAATCTTTTGATCCAGTCTGGATTGCCCAGTGCAATGCAGTCATTTTGTTGATGTTTCGTGAACTAACATTGGCTCCGTGTTCAACGAGATATTTGGATAGCTCAACATTGCCTAAAATTTATTGACAAGGTCTTAATTTGGTGGTCATAATTCAAAATTGATAGAAAATCATACCCATAGAAGCAGCAATTAACAGAGGACTATTTTCGTCAATGGTCTTGACATTGACATTGGCATCGTGTTCGACCAAGTACTCTGGTAATTCTTTGGTTCCAGTCTGAATTGCCCAAATAAGTGGTGTCTTCTTTTCCAAATTCGCGGCATTGACATCAGCTCCGTGTTTGACGAGAAGCTTACACAAATCAACATGACCTAAGGCCGCGGCAAGGAGGAGTGGAGTGTTGTTTTCAGTAGTTTTAGCATTTACATTGGCTTCATGTTCGATCAAATATTCAGCCAACTCTTTTGATCCTATTGGATTATAATCAATAAAAAAAAAATTATTTTTATGCATTTAGTGTCTGGAGTTGAAATAAAAGAAAATCGAATACTAACCGGTATGTGCTGCAAAGTGCAATGCAGTCATTTGATTAATATTTTCATCGCTAACATTAGCTCCGTGCTTAATGAGACTTTTACAGATATCCAAATTGCCTGTGTTCAATCAAATTATATGTATATATTTCGAGAAAGAACTGAAAATATGGGAAAATCATACCAGTTGATGCTGCCAACAAGAGTGCTGTGTATCCATGGCTCGTTTTAACATCGACATTGGCACCTTTTTCGATCAAATATTCGGCCAACTCTTTTGAACCTGAAAATACACGAATTCGTTTCAGCAAACTGTTGGTTGAGATTTGAAAAGAGTCACTCACGAGTCTGAATTGCCCATTGGAGTGGTGTGACGAGAAGTGTATTTTGAGAACTAACATTGGCTCCATTTTCGACGAGTAATTTGCAAATTTCCAAATTTCCCATAGAAGCTGCCAGGTGAATTGGTGTATTTTTATCCGAAGTCTCGGCATCGACGTCAGCACCCTTTTTGATCAAATATTCGACTAATTCTTTCGAACCTAAAAAATTGTTAAAAATCGACCTTAGACAAACTAAACAGAACGGCTCAATATTTGAAAGTAAAAGGTAGGAATATTCACCAGACTGAATTGCATAGTACAACGGTGAAGTTGTGGTCTTTATAGCATTTTCTGCAATCGCTCCATCTAAAAATATATATACTCATTTTATATGTGCGTGAAATTAAAAAAAAAAAAACATCAAATTTACCTTTTAACGTTGCACCAATGAGAAGAATAATCACAATTTTCAACATTTTGAACTTCACAACACTTTTCTGTGAAATTGCTAAAATGCACACTATTTCTTTGGATGCGAAAGAAAGACAGAATTTGATATGAAGTGAATGAAAATCAAAACTAGAATGAAAGTACTCATGCCGTGTATGTCATTTTAAGTAGCAGTTGCAATAGCAAAGACGAAGGTGAAACAAAACGTACAAAAGAGCGCTTATTTGCCGAATCAGCGTTTATTCACATCTTGAATTTATACACCGTTCATTTGTTTATTAAACATAATTCATATACATTTTTTCTCTTGACACTAGACACTCCGAAAACATCAAAATACGTTCAATGTGTTGGCGCTGAATTCATCGTTCTCTTACACAAAAATATATGAGCTTTGATTTACATAAACACAGTTTTATTCTCATTTTTCAGTCTCGGTCATGATAAAGGTCAGCAAAAAAAGATATAGACAGTACCAATCTCTTTGGGTTCTTATTTGTAAAAAAAAAAACATAAATACTTGATGACAAAAGTCACAACAAACACATTAAAATTGAAACAATTTTGTTTTTTAATCTTTTACTTTTCCGCACACACCTAGTGTGTAAGGTAAAGTATTGGAATCGGTCGAAAAATTAACACCCATCAAAAATGTGTTTTCTGGGTGTTTTTGGGGCCAGGGAACACGAATCTAGCGGTTTTTCGATGTCCGAATGTATGTGCGTGGTACGCTGTACCCTGTACCCTGTACGCAAAAATTTGTTAACACGATAACTTTCAAACCAGAAAAGTAATTCAAAATCTGACTTCACAGGATGATTGGGGGTCCCGAGGAATAGAAACCATTAGATTTTGAGCGACTTTGGTTGACAGAGTGAAGTGTCATGTCTGGTGTAATGCCCATGGCCATCCATGGGAAAAATTCAATTTTTCTTCCAAAAGTGATATTTAATGTATATTTAAACACTCAAAAATGTGTTTTGGGGGGTTTTCGGGTACGAGAAAACCGAATATGACGTTTATTTGTATCGTAAAACTAATGTCAGATTCAGTTTTCTCGTGAATTCTTTGAGTTAAAGATTTGTAATAAATGCATGTTGTGGATCACAGTGCGGAAAAGTTCATCTTACGGATGTAAGACATTTTATTTGCCATTATATTGAGTAAATATTTTCTGAAAGACAATGACTTTTTTAAAAATTCAATCAAAATTTAAGAAAAGTAATTTTTTGAGCATTTTTTGAACTTTTCCCAAATTTTTACCCACGCAATAAGAACAGGATCTGAAAAATGCCGACAATTTTGAAAATTATGTGATGCCGACAAACGTTCTAAGCATTAGGTCCCAGTGTTATCTGTTTTGGTTAATGGGTGTGTGACGCGTAGCTCTGCCGCAAGGTGACCGCGTTGTAATACACCGTGTAAACGTTGTATGTAGAACGGCTGAGATAGTGCGGACGACTTAGTCTGACGTATGATAAGCGGTGCACAGAGAGCACTACGAATCCAAATGACGTACGCGTACTGATTCATACTTTAATATGTCACACAAAGTACGACCATAAATACTCGCCTCATTGAAATACTTTTTTTTTATGTAAATTCATGTAAATAATATTTACAACACATTTTCTGATTTTTTTTTTAAATTGATATTTTTTACTAATTTCTTTTAATCATATTTAATACTTGTGTATAAAATATGAACAAATATGAATTTCCGTATAGAGCAGATATGATTACTCCTAAATTGCACACAATATTTATACTTTGTGTGCAAGCGAAGTATCAATTTCATTCATTTTCTAAGCTATGTTTTTCTCTTGATGTTCTATCTGATCTTGTTTTCTGTCCTTTTACTTCTTTCGTTATTTTCTGGTTAATTTATGTTTGTTGAAGATTTATAAAAATCGTGGATTTTGATAAATTAAAAAAAATGTAAACAACTATAAGCAACTTATTTTTTCACATGCTATAGCAAATTTTTTGCATCGATTGTTCATGTGTATTTTAGGAGTAATATCTTTACCATTCTATGCAAAATGTGCTACGGGCAGAACAAATATGATAAAAAATGTGCTGTACGTAGAACATTTTTGCATTGAATGGTAAAGACATTATTCCTATAACAAATTGCAATGATGTCCAAAGAACGAATGGTGAAAAAACTATATTATAAGACACATAAAATGACTCAAAATAAAAACAAGCATTATTCAATAAATATTAAAAATTAATGCAATTCAGGGGTAACCCGAAAAACACAACGTAATACATAACCTTGAAATTGAATGATACTTTGTTTTCACACAAAGTGTATTATGTGCAATTTAGGAGTAATCACATCTGTTCATTGAAATTCAATTATGGATTCATTGAAAATTTAAATGAGTTCATATTTTAAAGACAAGTAATAAATATAATAAACTAGAATTGATAAAAAATAATTTTCCTAGGGGGATATTGCGTGTATATAGTCGCAATTTATTGACAAATATTTGCGACACATTGGTTTATATTCGTATACGAATATGAACTACTTTTTTCAAATATGCCACCAATATATTCCAATATATTCCAATATATTATATAAAATACTCTTGTGAATACTAGAGTACAAGTACTTGCTAAAGTACAAGTACTTGCCAGAGTACAAATTGTAAAAATATATATTATTGAAAAGAAAATGTTTTAATGAAAAACAAAAAAAATGGTTTTTTCTTGATTTGTATAATTAAAAAAAGATGTTTAATTTTATTTTTTTATTTTTTATTGTGTGTTTTATTTATTTATTTATTTATTTATCCGTGGATTATGTACATTAAACTAATTTTGAACAATAAGTTCATTGTGCAAGAGTACTAGATTTGTACTATAACTAGTACTAAAATCTAGTACAATATCAACGAAAATTTTATACTTGACATAACCTCTTTTTTGACCACATGTACGCGTAGTCGAGAAGAAGAAGAAGACATAAAACTATAAAAGTCGTTTGAGCTATCGAATCGCCAATCGTGTTATATTAGTTCCAATTTTATGTACCAAAAAGAACAAAAAAGAAGAATAGACGAAAAATGAAGATATACGTGGTTGCATTAACTTTCATGTGTTTCTATTGCGGAATCAACGCATTTCCATCGCTAGTCACGATGATAAAGGAAACGGAAGTGGATAAGTCGAATGGCCTAAGGTATCCCAATGTAAGAATTGAAAATCGAGCAACCGGTTACAGAGCCAAGGGACGCGTAAGTTATCCGGGATGCAGTTCGGATGATTATGAGCTACAATATGGTGAAAATACTGGTGAATAAAGATTTATATTATAAGTTCGATAAACCACATTTGCATGTACTATATTTAAAATGTACTTTCTATTTAAATAATAATAGACATATGGCGCGCAGGCTGTTTAATCACACAAATAACTGCCGTGTTGTGGAAAGGCGAGAACAATACACGAGCGACATCGTACATATCGTCTGGCACCAGCTACAGTCAATTTGAAATCGTACCAGTCGGAAATGGTTTTGTGGTTCAACGCGTTAAATAAAAATCGGACTTTGCACATACGAATCGAAAATGAAATACTAGTCTGACGTCATTTTTAATTCAAATGAAATTAACTCCAATTAAATAACATTCAAGAAAAAAAGGTTTTTTTCAAGCTGCCTTTTTTATTGCGTCAGTCTTCATTTTTTATTTGGCCTAAAAAAAAAAAAACAATTGTTTTCGGAAAATCACACAGCCGCCATAGTCAACTTTATCCGCCATGTCTCTCTGTTTTGGACATCACTTGATTGAATCAGCTGTAGCGAACTGTAGATTGTAGAAGATGATAAGATTTTAAGTGAAAATAAACACAATGAAGTGGAATACATTGAAAATCATTTCCTTTTATACCTTTATTGAGAAAATAATATGTGGTAGAAAATACAAGATTTTTTTTAAAAATAAAGTGACATTTGATCAAACTTTTATGACATGGATAAATGTAATATGGATATTTTCTATAAAAAAAATGCTTTATATGTTTTTGTTCTGAAGGTGTGAGGCAGTAACATTTCAATTCCGAAATTTTCGCTAATTTTCTTCACCAAATGTGGACTTTTTCTTAGCAAAGGAAAAACTTTTAGGCATTCTTACAAAATTGCTGTTTAGTAAGCTGTGTTTAAGCAATTCATGGCGATACTTTGTTGAAATGTTGAATTTTATCTTTAAGATAAGAAAATTTGCCATGAAAATCTTTCGAATTTCGTGTAATTTGTATTTTATATGCTATCAAGTGCAATATATTTGCAAGATTGAAGGTTTGTTACACCGAGTTTTCTTTATTAAAATCAAATTTTTCTCCCCGTTCCAAAATGTATGCGACATGGGATTCCTTGCAAATGAATTAATGACGTGCTTCAATTAATTTGATGGCCAAATTGGCAGGATTGCGTGTAAGCTTCGATTGTTGAACGTCTCCAAACAGTTTACGGTGCTCAATTGAAACGTAACCGTTTGCTTTGATGATTCCCTTCACAAATGCAATTTCTTGCTTTTTAGTACGTGGACGTGGTATCGAGCCCATGAAGTTACAGTATGCATCTAGGGGGAAATAACGTTTGCAAATGCTCATCAAATGCTGCACATGGCAGCGCATACGTTAAGGAACATTCGCAAGCGTATTTGTTAGCAACGCATACACTCACTTCGCTATCGTGCTTAGACTGTAAAACTGCTTGCAAGTGTAGACTGCCAATACGTGCAAATGCGTAGCAATGCCTGCTAATGCCGAGCACATACACTAATAGTTATTTCCCCCTCGGTATGCATCTTGTTCAAATTCATCGTTCAAGTACATGGAACCGGCGAACATTTTGATTTGAACTGCATCGTCTGCATTAATGCCAACTATATTTGTTTTGGCCGTGACATATAAACCGCTAATATTCAATAGATCGCTGTTGAATTTACTCAGTTGAGCACAGAACGGATAAAGTATTGATTTGATGCTTCTGCGAAAAGCTGGTAATAACCGATCGGACTCAAACGAGCTTAACAAGATCAGTATGTAAGAATCACCTTCCGAGCTTTCGATTCGTGCAATCCACCGAACAGGTCGTAGAAATTCGTCACATGCTTGTGACGTCGTATCAACAACGTTTATAAAATCGTGTGTAAGGCAAATGTGTTTAGCCCAGGCGTGATCATCGTTCATGTATTCTTTGAACAATGACGTTTTATGTAGTCCATGTTCCAATGGAAATAGTATGGGTTGAACAAGTTTTGCTATGCGTTCATTCCAGCCATGCAGGATAAGCTCTTCAAGATTGGCATAGCATGAATCCAATTTTAATTCAGTGGCTGCGGTAACTGGTGGTGGCCGTTCAATTTGACGTTGATCTTCTTCTTCGCGTTCGGATTCTTTCTCCTTCTCTTGTTCTTCGTCCAAAACATGAACGTGGCGTCTTATGGTCGCAGCCGGTCCTTTTAACATTTCCTGCACAACATTCAAATTGCCGCTTATGTAATCTTGAATTGATTTCTTTCCACCATAAGATTGGATCAATCTATTGAATTTATTTGAATTGATCACCGGCAGTAATTGCATCGGTGCTAAGCATTTTGGTTGCCAATTTTATGGCTCTTGAGAATTCGGCCGTTTCTTCAAATGCTATATGTGCTGTACTATCATGCAATCCATGATCAATTCTACCGCCTTCAACAAATAAATAAAGAGTCTTACGGGAGTAAGACGAACTTTTCCGCACGGTGGTAGTTGCGTATTTTATTAAGAAAGTTCAAAATCATATTCGTTTCATGATGAACACATTTGACCTTTGAAAGTATTATATTTTCTAACAAAATACTATAAAAAATTGTCTGACGTTAATTTTGCCATAAAAATTATTTTTGAAACACTGTTAACAGTAACATTCATAACTAAAGTCACAAAAAATTTGGATTTTTGTATGGGAGCCACGTCTGTATGCTACCTTAATGGCGTGAAACTTTGCACAGGTTATTTTTTTCACAAAAAAACATCATTTTGATTAAAATCTTTTCAAACATTCAGAATGTTATTTTTTTGTGTAAAAAATAGTCTGTGCAAAGTTTCACGTCATTAAGGTAGCATACAGGCATGGCTCCCATACAAAAATTCAATTTTTTTGTGATTTTTTCAAGGAAACTGTATCAAAAATTGATTGTATCTCAAAACTAACCTCGGATTCGGTTTTCTCGTGCCAAAAAACCCCCCAATACATATTTTTGAGTGTTTAAGTCTACATTAAGTATGACTTTTGGACGAAAATTGGACTCTTTCTCATATGTGTCACTCGAGGCATGAAATTTTTTTCCATCAACCAAAGTCGCTCAGTAAGATTTTAAATAACTTTTCTGGGGGGTGGGATAATCGATGGACAAATTTTGCGTACGGCGGACAACGTACGACGCACGACGTGGAAGCGACCCACAACAGCCATGCTCAAAACGGCCTGATTCGGGTTCTCTGACCTCAGAAACGTCCAGAAAACATGTTTTTGAGGTTTCGTAAATTTTGACCTATTGCAATACTTTCCCCTTTCACACTAGGTGTGTGCGGAAAAGTAAAAGAAACCATTTGGATTTGTTTGTAAAATTTCGATGGCTTTCATAGCCATTTCCTTTAAAGCTGGAATCTGATGGGAAATACCGTCGATCAAGTGGTTGTATTCACAATGACTCGGTGCAAATAAACCAAGCACACTTTCATTTTTGTGTTGACTACTCAGCCATTCGCTGATCAAATTTTTGCCATCCGTTCTACTTCACCTGCAACACATAATTACATTTTTAATTATCATTTGAATCGATGAATAAAAAATCAATTAATAAAAGCAAAGTCTCACCATGAACCAATTGCTCTGCGATATCATCAACTAATTGATCATTACAGTACGCATTTAATACTTTTGCAATTCAACAATTATTTTTCTAATTAACATCAAATATACCTCGTGTGGTTGTCACGAGACCAATAGATTTGCCGGCGTTCAATGCCCATTTCGCAATGGATTCGGTGTGATATGCTTTTTCTGTTCCGGCCGTACAATCTGTTCGCGGGACCTTTGCACTCACCTAAATACATGCTGATTCCGAATTTCGAGGTTTCAGTTGAAAAAAATCATGGGTGAAGGAGTTATTGCCCCCGACCCTCCTGGGGGGTGGGGGGACTTGGAGGGCAGGGGTCCTGAAAAATTTCTCTCGTCATTCTGAACAACTTTGTAGTACATTGTTTTTTGATCCGACCAAATTTTGATATGGTGGGGTGCTCTCCTGCCCCCTAGACCCAAAAGGGGCACCCTCTATTTTCACAAACCAATTTTCTCGGCACTTTACATCGATTTGTACTAAGGAAAGTTAAAAATTTTTGTAACACTTTGATTCCTTTCCTGGTTAGATTTATTTCTATTCACCCGGCATCAATTGAATTTTACTTTTTTATCAACGACTCCTGATGGCCACGGTCTACTTATCCGGTCCAATTGTATCAAGGTTAAATAGGCGAATTTGACCACGATTTTTTTGATATTTTTGTATTAAAATTCGTTGAATCTATTGCATGCAATTACAAAATGAGACAAAAACCAACAAAATCATCATTCATGACAAAAAAAAAACATTATAACGTCACAGACCAACCGAATTTCGGTGATCTGTAGTGCTTGTTTTTGTGCTTTTGTTTACTATACATGTTGTGACGTTCATAGTCGTTACGTGTCACCCATGACCGCCTCCTTACAAAATGGAATTGCATCCAAAATATCAACTCGAACGTCATCAGCTCGAATCTTTTTAAATACCACAAATTGATTGGGACAAATACTTATAAATATTATTTATAGATTGAAGTGTATACTGCGATGTTTCTTGCATTAGTTTTATCGGCCAATTAAAAAGAGGTGGATTAAATTCTGATCTCTGGCCAAAATACAGGTTTCTTTTATCTGAGTAGTTTTTATTGCTGTCGTGCAAACTGATCGTAAACAATGGGAAAGTTTCTCGACAATGACAGTTTTTTTTTCTGCATCATTCTCTCTTGATTCGTGTAAAAATAGAACTCATTAATTTTGGCCAAATGTTCTTTTTTATCTTCATGAACATACAGATGTGGTGAAACAAGAAAAAGAATATAGTGCAGTTTTGGTAACACGTCATTGAATTTTTGTTTTGGTGTGTTGTGGGTTTTTTTGTTGGCATTTGTGGTAATGAATTTTCAACGAACAGAACATTGATTCACGCAAAGGAACATTCACGTATATAAATATGGACACAGAATACACACAACAATCAGTTTATTTCCTGAAATAACAAGCACAAGTTGCTTTTGATCAAGTGGCTACTCTTTTTTAATACTATTTGTGAGTTTTGATTTTTTTTCTTCACATTTTTGTGTTTACTTGAATGAGGAATTTTTGGAAAGGTGTATTTATTGTTTTTTTTCTATTACTAACCAAGGTGGTAAGCTTTCATCGAAAATGATCCGTGTCTGATTGCAGATCGATTTTCATTCGATACAAATACGGTCTTTAGCGGTGTTGTTCCAATTCGAACCTTCCGAATGAGAGTCGGTTTGAAAGAACATAAGCTCTGATTTTATACGAAAAGTGTTAAATTTATCCATTTTTTTAATTTTTAAATAAAAAAGTTTGGTTTAACATCAGATTTTGAATCATTCGTGGACAAGATACACAAACAATGATTTTAAGTTTTTACCACATCCAAATTAATTTCGTTTCTATTTCGAAAAAGCACAAGTGAAACATATTCAAATATTTTGGGTTTTGATTTTCATTCAAAGAAAATTGTATTTCAAATTAAAAGATGTTTTTTTTAGAAATTTTTTATGAATGTATTATAATAATTTTTCCTAAAAAAATAATTTTTAAACAAATATTCATCCGAAATATGCTTTTTTCATAATTTCCAGGCCAAAATGAAAATGTTTGCTGTATTTGTCTTATTCTTCGCTGTTGTTGCTGCATATCCATCTGTTGAGAGCCAACCAGAAATGCCGCCACCACCTCCAGTATTACAAGCAGATGAACAAAATCAGGCGAAAAATACTCTTCTCTCCGTCGGAGATGAACCAAAGGGTGATAATTCAGAAACCAATGCAGAACGTCTGAAGCGATTTATTTTCTTCTCGAAATTCTTCTACCCATATCCAATATCCTATTCTGTTGTTGCCGCACCAGTCGCTTATGCTGCACCAGTCGCTTATGCAACTCCAGTGGTCACAAAAACCAAAGTCGTTACGACACCAGTTGTAACAAAAACTGTTTCGGCAGTTGCTACCGCTCCACTTGTCTCCGTTCAAGCTCCAGGTGTTTCAGTTGTCGTTTGAATTCTCATATGTTCAGCAATAAATACTTATTAGATCTAGCAAAAATTTGTGTTTTTTTTGCCTTTTCTAATCATAACCTTGGCCTTTCAAGCATTTCGAAAAAAAAATCAAAAAAAAGATCATTTCGCTCCACTCGAACCAAAACTATGAAATTTGGACTTTGTTTAAAATAGGAAATATGAAGGTCAGTGTCTAAAAATAACGATAAATCTGTTTACTCTTAACTCTATTTTAGGGTGATAAATCGTTTTTGAACGCTACTTGATCATTACTACCGTGAATGATCATGCAATCGAAATGCGTCATACAGACATTGCACAGAAATATTTTTGAAGAATTTCTACAGTATTTCTACTCTCTCGAAATGATAATGCAAAAAAAACTGTTTCAGGCAAAAATAATAGGAGATCAATTGCGTGTTGGCGGTTTTACTCGGTTCGAAAAATGTGCAAGCCATCGACTATTTGGTAATGGTAACATTTGGATATTGCTTGAAACCAGTTTCATAATAAATATTTTTTTTTTCATTGAAACATGCTTTTGGCAATGAAAAAGAACATATATTCCCTGAAATTATGCTATAAATTCAGAGTAATAGTTTTTATTTCGACAAAAAAAAAACACTTGTGATGTATTGAAACCATCTATCTACCAAAGAAATTTAAGAAATGCAGAACTAATTAGAGTTAGAACATTTACATCGGAATATGCACATAACCAGCCATTTTACGTGGCTTGTAACATAGGAATTTTAATTTAATAAGAGAAATGTTTTAAGAATCAGCATCGAGACAAATTTTTAGAAGTAATATTTTTAAATTGAAAAATGTGAAACTGTACTTTGTATAAAAATTGTATTGAAAATTAGAGATTAAAACAATGAACACAATCGATGTCTGCTGCTCCGAAGTCGACAAGGCTGGTGGTTGGATATTCGATCGGGTATAGTGATTCATTGTGAATGGTATTGTATAAAATTTTGTGATAAATTCAGTCTGTGATCAGACGGTGAGTAAATAAATAAATAAGATTGAATGCTCTACGTGTACACAAAATTCTCATTTTAATTCGGAAAAATCATTTTTTTCGACATTTTAATCACGAAATCTTCATCATTTCATTTTAATCGGTAGAGTTTCGTGTATTTTTAGAAATTTTCAGCAAAATGAGGGATTTTTTTTAAATATCTCTCATTGAATCGAGACTTTTTTGAAGAAGGGCCTCTAATTCATCGTCAGACCAACCGTTTGATTTCTTTTTCTTCTGAGCTGCATCTTTTCCCTTAATTTCATTCGGCTTTGATACAATGAAATCTAAATTATTATAATTATAATTTCCCATTGAATCCTTGTAATTGGGCTTGGCACCTTTTTGGGCTGGTTGCTTGGCATGGACCTTCTTTTGATCTTTTCCACCCGCATGCACATTAGTAATTAGGAGCTGCAAAAAGAAGAAAAATTTGAATAAAAATTAGAAATTGAAATCGTAATCCACCTCGGTATTAAATGAATTTACCTCACAAAAAATGACTCCGATAAAAAGAACCACAAAAACGTTTCGACTGAACATTGCGGTACAATTAAGTACATTTTTGGTACAATTATTTAAACCTAGTCCCCAGTTTCGACTTTCACATGTGCGGACATTCGAATATACATCCGTTTATTGCCAACTCAATGGATTCTTTTTCCTTATTTGTGGAAATTTTTCGATTTTGGCAAGTGACAACTCACAACTTTCTGCCAATTTTCAGTAAGTAAGGGTTTTTAAACAGTTTTTTGAAAGCGGTTTCAACTAATTTTACACGAATAATTGTTTATTCAGCTGCACGATGAGCTTTATAATTGTTGTTTATTATTATTGTCAATATAATGTCAACATGAATTCAACTCGGCGTTGGGACTTCAAACAAAAGTCAAAGAATAAATAATTCAAATACATTTTATTTAGGAGAATAAACGATTGTGAGTATGTGTAACGCGCATGTTTTTTGGTTACGTTGAAAAAATCAAAGAGCGCTAATATCGTAGATTTTTCTTTATCGATTCCACCAATACGACATCTACTAAAAAACTCGCCGATTTCTGTTACTAGTGGTGTTTTAATACAGCTGACTCCAATTCTGTGTATGCGTATATATTACAAATTCTGCACTCAGTCGTCAATCGTAGCTGCTTGCGCAAAATTTACAATACATACGCATACACAGGATCGGAGTCTGTGTGTTCTTTTGTATTAGTTCGTCTGTAATACAGCCATAGCCGTATAGTTCGCTCGAGCTGTGTCAAAGCAACAGTAGTAACAAAAATCGGTATCTTTTTTAACAGATGTCGTATTCGTAGAATCGATAAAATTAATTTGTATGGGGAATATACGATACTAGTTCCCATCGGAAGAAATTGTGCTTTAAGCGAAATTTTATATACATCGAAAATCAATGGAAATTTTTTGCTTGATTTAAGGTCACTTTGCCTTGCAGAATGGACATTGAAAAAAATACTTCGAAAGCTATCTTATCTCCGAGTAGAAATATTCAACTGAAAACTTTTGTTCGCTAAGATTTCAATGTGATGTCGCCAATGAAACTCCGAGCTAATTTATTGGCTGTGTCGTATGTCTTGGATTCTTGTATTGCGATCATGTTCGCGGAAAGGAAACTCATATCCCCAGAAGTTATGCTATATTTTAAAAAAATCGTTTTTATTTCGAACAAAAAAGACTTGAGATCTATTTCAGTGAACACAAAAAAAAGAATTCTTTGGCTCATTTGTACACAAAATTCTCATTTTATTTCGGAAAAAAACATTTTTTTCGACATTTAATCACAAGAATTTTACAAAATGAGGGATTTTTGGAGTTTCACTGATTGAATCGATGGCACCTGTGAACAGAGGCCTCGAATTCTTGATCAGACGAACCGTCTGGTTTCTTAGTCTTCTGGGCTGCATCTTTTCCCTTACTGGCATTAGGATTTTGTATAATGTCTAAAACATTCTTTCCCATTGGAAAGATTGAAACACCGGGTTTGGCACCTTTTTGGGCTGGTTGCTTGGCATGGACCTTCTTTTGATCTTTTTCACCCGCATGCACGTTAGTAATTAGGAGCTGCAAAAAAAAAGAAAAAATTTGAACAAAAATTAGAAATTGAAATCGTAATCCATTTGGCTATTAAATGAATTTACCTCACAAAAAATGACTCCGATAAAAAGAACCACAAAAACGTTTCGACTGAACATGTTTAATGCCAACTCAATGGACTTTTTTCTTATTTGTGGCAATTTTTCGATTTTGGCAAGTGACAACTCACAACTTTCTGCCAATTTTCAGTAAGTAAGGGTTTTTATACGGTTTTTTTTTAAAGCGATTTCGACTTACTTTACGCAAATGATTGTTTGTTCAGCTGCATGCGGAGAAAGGCCGATTGCATCAGCAACTTTTCTCGAGAATTTTTATTTTATTCGAGACTTGTTAACAATTATTATGCCAATGTCAAGACGAATTCAACTCAGCGCTGTTGACTTCAAACAATAATTAATGAACAAACGATTGTGTGCATGAGTTACGCGGATGTTTATTAATTATTGGTTACATTGAAGAAATTGTACTTAAAACGAAATTTGTAAATGGAAAATCTTTGTCTGATTTAAGGCAGAATGGACATTTTTATAAAATACTTCGAAAACACATCTTCAGTGTCAATTCTGATTTATTGGCTGTATCGTATGCCTTGTGTTCTTGCATTGCGTTCAGATTCTACGGCACCAAATATATCCGTCGATGATGAGTATATTCTGGCGCGATTGTTCAAAGCGTCCACAGTCTGATTTCTTGATTTGTTGTTTGCCATTCGACCTCCGAAGAGGGTGGAATTGTTTACCATGGAAGAAAGATCTTCAAACACAATTGCATCGCTGTAATCCATCATTTCATCTTCGTTCTGTGAATGGATTTCAAATCGATTGTACGTCTCCACCAATCTGCAGAGTAATATTTAAATGCATTAGAATTCAATGGAAAAAGAAAGTGAATTAAACGCACCGTGCGTTGGAAACGTGTAAAAAGTATTCCTTGAACGTCGGGTTGAATGTGGAATTACAATGGTTGAACGCCAATCTTATGTTGTTCAAAGACCGAAGAACTTGTTGTTCCAGAAAATTGAGCATTTTTGACATTTTATCATTCCAATCCATCTAAATTTAAGAAAGTAAGATATTCCGATATTTTGTTTGACATTTGGAGTGATGAAAATGTTGTTAACAAAAATGCTTACCGATTGGGTTCCATCAGCTGTTGACATGCTCGCATCTGCATCAGTGGTCATTTGTCCTTCGGACATTGAATTCGTTTCGAAATGATCATATGCTCTGCTGATTCTACACAAAATCGACGGCCAATTAATAAAAACGATACCAAATGATAGAAAAACACAACTCACCGATCATTTGAAGCACTCAGAAAGTATCGCTTGAACTCTTGATTAACAGATAGTCCAGTGTGTTTGAAAGACGTTCTAATGTTGTTCAAGGACATTTTTACCTGATGATCGAACGCGGCAAGCATATTGTCTATCTCGTACCTCCAGTCCATTGGTACATTCATCTAGGCTATTTTATCGGATAGATTACAACGCGAAATTAATTTCAATGGATTATCAAAATTGAAAATTATTGAAATCAAAATAATGTTTACTTCAATTTTTAAACCAAATTATGTATGACAAATTTTTTCGGGTGAATCTCTTTCGAATGGAAATTTCGTTGTGAAAATATCAAGTTTGGCGAAATCGAACTGATATTTTCATTTGATTTATTTTCACGGTATGCTTTCTTATAATTTCTTTTTGATCAATTAAAACCTTATGGAACTCGAGAGATGAATGAAACACGTGCCTTGTGTAGGACGAAATGTGATGACAATGACTGTGCTATTTTGAAGCGATGACATGAAATGTCAAGACAAGCTTTCGCCATATTCAAAAATCTTTGTGACGAATTCAATTCGCTACTGTTTATTTTGGATCATTTTTGCCTTGAAGGATAGTCCTTTCGCATATGTCTTTTCATATCGTTTTTTTTTTTCAACAACGACAAACTTATTGAAAATGTAGCATTCATACCGACAAATTTTGCATACTTTTTCATGGGTTTCTTTTTCGTCCTTCTTTGAAAATCCATCAAAACATCCTTGGCAATGGAACGGAAATTCATCGATGTGAGATGCTTTGTGTTTCTTCAAATGTCGTTTATCTGTGTATTGTTTGCGGCAAATATCACATCGATACGGTTTTTCACCGGTGTGAGTACGCATGTGTTTATTTAAGTTACACTTGTAATCGCTGGAATATTCGCAAAGCTGGCATTTGAATCGAAAATTGGCTTTTTGGAAGAACACGATGCAGCTTTTGCTGTTGGACATTTATTTGATCTTCATGTCGCATTGTTTTCCATCACCAGAGCTTCGTGATTGCATTCGGTGCCACCACTGACATTTGGTCGATTGGCTGATGTGACAGTGGAGGTGCGTTTCTTCACCACATCACTTCTGATTTGTTTATCATTCTTGCGATTGTAATCATTTAGTCTGGCACATTTACTTTCGTTCTTTGGAATGATGAGTGGGTCTTCGCTAGTCATTGTATCCATTTTGATGATTTTCATCAAATGAACTTGTTTTTGGATAGATTGTACGCTTCGTGGTTATTGTCGAACCAATATGGATGTAGCCATAATTTTTGGCCGAAATGACATTGCGAAAAGAATCAATCGAAGTACATTCCAGCATTTTGGGTGCTCTTTTGGTGTCTTCTTCATGAAATAGTAAATGGATCAAATGTTTGAATTAAAAATCATTGAAAAGTGACTTCTGTGAACTGATGAACTCTGGCTTTTGTCCGAAATGATTGGCATATTGCCACGTGGACGAATTCTGATAAATAATTTGTTGTAATTATCTTTATAATTGATGGAAATGTGTCTCATTCTTCATTTCTCACCTTTTTCCTCGACCAATTTCAACCAAACTAATGACAAATACGAATTTTATTCTGGATAATTTCTATTCAAAAGGAAACTTTTGTAAAATTTATTGAGTAGTAATTTAAGAGAATTATGTTGAAGAATGCATTAAATGAACTGTCCAAATGGGTTCTCGTCATATTCAAATTGCTTTGCGACTTATTAAAATCGCTACTGACATTTTTTTGAATATTTGTGATTTAAAATTAAATTTGAAAAAATAATTCATTTTCTTCTAGATAAACTTTTATTTGGTTAGAAGCAAAAAGATCTTTACAATGGGAAATGTGTTGGCATTAAGTAATTCAAATCATGGGTTTGCTTCTGGTATGAATGGTGTCCAAATGTGTCTTCAGATTTCCTCTCCTGACAAAACGCTTCATACAAATCTCGCATTGAAACGGTTTTTCACCGTTGTGCTTTCGCATATGCCTTTTCAAATCGTTTTTTCTAACAGTGACAAACTTCTTGCAAATGTAGCATTCATACCGACGAATTTTGCATACTTTTTCATGGGTTTCTTTTACGTCCTTCCTTGAAAATCCATCAAAACATCCTTGGCAATGGAATGGAAATTCATCGATGTGAGATGCTTTGTGTTTCTTCAAATGTCGTTTATCTGTGTATTGTTTGCGACAAATATCACATCGATACGGTTTTTCACCGGTGTGAGTACACATGTGTTTATTTAGGTTCCCCTTGTAATCGCTAAAAAATTCGCAAAGCTGGCATTTGAATCGCTTCTTCATCTTCAATTGGTTTGACGATATTGACTTTTTTGTCGAACACGATGCAGCTTTTGCTGTTGGACATTTATTTGATCTTCGTGTCGTGTCGTTTTCCATCATCAGAGCTTCGTGGTTGCTTTCGGTGCCACCAATGATATTTGGTCGATTTCTCGATGTGACGGTGGAGGTGCTTTTCTTCACCACATCACTTCCGATTTGTTTATCATTCTTGCGATTGTTATCATTCAATGTGGCGCATTGGTTTTCGATCTTTGGAATGATGAATTGATCTTCAATGGCATGGGTTAAGTCTTTGTATCCATCGTGGTGATTCTCATCAAATGAACTTGTTTTTGGATTAATTGTACGCTTCGTGATCATTGTCGAACCAATACCAGTGTCACCATAATTATTGATAAACATGCCACTTCCCCCGTATTGTTCCGATCGACCCATATCAGTAACACTCGTGGCACGCTGCATTGCAAACTTGCGAGCAGTTTCAATCGAGGTATTTTTCACTGTCCATGGTGCTCTGATGGTGCGTTGTTCATCATCTGAATCATCAATTTCAATGTAATCGATTTTTCGGATTGATCCTTTCTGTTCCGTTCTACTTCTGTTTCCATGCAAATTGGGGCTTGTTGCACCGAACATATTTGTGACGTTCGTATTAAATATTTCTTCTTCAATATGAGAGGTATTTTCAAAGTATTTGTAAGCCTCTTCCAACCTGTACAAATAGATTCAAATTCGTAATATAGATTGAAAGGCTCAAATTCTCGAGCAATATAGACATACCGAGCATTCGAAACTTGTAAAAAGTACTTCTTAAATTGCGGATTGAATGACCTGCCACAGCGTTGAAAAGCCACTTTCATATTTCCCAGCGAATGAATGGCCTGGCGTTCGAATGCTGCAAGCATCTTAGCCATCTCATGTTTCCAGTCCATTGTTGGCATTTCCATCTAAATTTAAAAAGTCAAATTTCGTTGAATTTATGGATCTATCAGCTTGATAATCAAGAAAATCAAGAAGAAAAGTCATTTATTTTCGTTTTTGGTTTTCTGGAATTTTCTTTGTGGAATTTTACAGAATATACGAATTAATTTTTATACGATTTGTTGGTTATGTTTGCTTCAAAATAAGCTGATGCTATTCTTACCTTAATTCACAATCAATGTAATTTTTCTTTCAAAAAATTCTTCTGGAAATTTCAATCGAATTAAACTATTTGTTCGGTAAAGTGCAGCGATTAGTATTTTTCCATTGGAATCGAATTTATTTTGTGATCAAACAGTTTGATATTGTGCAGAATTAACAAAATCAATAGACGAGAGCGTGCTTTATGTAAAACAAAATGTGCTGGGCAATGACTGTGCAATTTAATAGGTAACAATGTGTGCTGTCAAAAATTGTCACACCACACTCAAATCACTTTGTGGCGAAATCGAGTGTCCACTCACAGAGTTGGTTTTTAGCTAGGTTTGTAGACAGGTTTCCGGCGTATCTGTGTATATAAGCGCATATTGAGTGTTGCTTTGGATTTCAATGGTATCTGCTGTTCGGTTGTCATAAATATATGCTTCTTAACCACTTCACAACAAAATTTATCAAATTTTTCAGTAAATTCAAGACAACGAAATGTTATTTCGATGAAAATATGAGTTTATTTCTTTACTTTTGATGCTTTCAGATGAACATATTTCGAAGATGTGCTGTGTAACTCATGAAATAGAGATAATATCGTAATTCAATACGAATCACCAACAGCAGCAGTTAAAAGGTGTCAAAACCATCAAAGGTGAAATCATTTGGGGCAAGAGACCAAAGAAATTCGATTTTTGGGCGAATTGAGTGGGTATTTTTGGATTTTCCTCTAAAGAATGTCATTAAATTCCAACGCATATTGGGAGTGTTTTAAAGATGATCTCAAAGGTTGATTCACATATGGTCGATTTTCATATGTCTTTTCAAACTTCTTTTCTGCGTAAAACGCATCATACAAATTTCGCATCCAAATCGTTTTTCACATTGGTGTTTCCGCATATGTGCTTTCAAATTAGCTCTAACCGCAGTAAAAAATTGGTTACAGGTCTGGCATTCATAACTACGCACTGTGCACGTTTTTTCATGTGCTTTTCTTTGGTCCTTCTGCAAAAATCCATCAAAACATCCTCGACAATGGAACAGAATTTGTTCGTTGTGAGTCACTTTGTAGCGCTTCAAGTTTTGTATGTACGTGTATAGTTTGCAGCAAATATCGCATTGATATGGCTTCACGCCGGTATGCATACGCAAATGCAATTTTAATGGCCCTTTTCGATCACGTGGTTTTTTTATTCTATTCACACCGCTTCTTTGGTCATCTCTGAACCACTTCGCAAGAGGGATTTTTGGTTCCTTGGTTGCTTTGCGAATCGTTTCCTTTGAAGTGGATGTCACAGCTGACGCTGTATTTTTACCATCACTCGAGTCATTGATCTCAATCAACTCCATTGACTCCTTGTTTTGCAATTCACTTGTGGCCCGATTAAAGTTCGTTGCTTCACACACACCAACATCATTGTTATTGAACATTTCGCTTTCGATTTTCAAATTGCTTACAAATTGATTGTAGATCTGTTCCAGCATGTTGAAATGTTGTTGGAAATTTATACAAATCCAAAGGAAATCAAAATAGAAATACATACTGAGCCGTTGATGCCATCAAAAAATGCTGTTTGAACGTTGGGTTAAACGATTGTCCATTGCGTTTGAAAGCCAGTTTTATGTTGCCCAATGAGTGAATC